TATCCTCTACCTTGCTATAGCTATTGATGATGTCTAGAAGCTTCTGAGTAGAGTTTTTGGGTCTTTAAGGTATAGGATCATTGTCGTCTGCAAATAGGGATATTTTGACAGTTTCTTTACCTATTTGTATTCCTTTTATTCCTTCTTCTTGCCTAATTGCTCTGGCTAGGAATTCCAGTACTATGTTGAATAGGAGTGGAGATAGTGGGCATCCTTGTCTGGTTCCTGATTTTAGAGGGAATGGTTTCAGTTTTTCTCCATTAAGTATAATGCTGGCTGTAGGTTTGTCATATATAGCTTTTATAATGTTGAGGAACTTTCCTTCTATTCCTAGTTTTCTTAGAGCTTTTATCATGAAATGGTGTTGGATCTTATCAAAGGCTTTTTCTGCATCTATTGAGATGATCAAGTGGTTTTTGTCTTTGCTTCTGTTAATGTGGTTTATTATTTATTGATTTTCGTATGTTGAACCACCCTGCATCCCTGGGATGAAGCCTACTTGGTCGTGGTGAATAATCTTTTTGATGTGTTGTTGAATTCGGTTTGCCATTATTTTGTTGAGGATTTTTGTCAATGTTCATTAAGGAGATTGGCCTATAGTTCTCCTTTTTGGAGGTGTCTTTGCCTGGTTTTGGGATAAGTGTAATACTGGCTTCATAAAATGTGTTTGGCAGTTTTCCTTCCCTTTCTTTTTCATGGAACAGTTTAAGGAGGGTTGGTATCAGTTCTTCTTTAAAGGTCTGATAGAATTCAGCAGAGAATCCATCAGGTCCTGGACTTTTCTTTTTGGGGAGACTCTTGATTGCTGCTTCAATTTCATTTTGTGTTATAGATCTATTCAGGTGATTAATTTCCTCTTGGTTCAGTTTTGGATGATCATATGTATCTAGAAATCTGTCCATTTCTTTAAGATTTTCAAATTTATTTGAATATAGGTTCTCAAAGTAGTCTCTGATGATTTCCTGGACTTCCATGGTGTTTGTTGTTATTGCCCCTTTTGCATTCCTGATTCTACTAATTTGGGTTTTTTCTCTCCTCATTTTAGTCAGGTTTGCCAGGGGTCTATCGATCTTGTTTATTTTTTCAAAGAACCAACTTTTTGTTTCATTAATTCTTTGTATGGTTTTTTTGGTTTCTATTTCATTGATTTCAGCTCTTATTTTTTATTATTTCTCTCCTTCTATTTGTTTTGGGATTTGCTTGTTCTTGTTTTCTAGGAGTTTGAGATGTATCATTAGGTCATTGATTTGGGATCTTTCAGTCTTTTTAATATATGCACTCATGGCTATAAACTTTCCTCTCAGGACTGCCTTAGCTGTGTCCCATAGGTTCCGGTAGGTTGTGTTTCATTTTCATTGACTTCCAGGAACTTTTTAATTTCCTCTTTTATTTCATCGATGATCCATTCTTCATTAAGTAATGAGTTATTTAGTTTCCAGCTGTTTGCATGTTTTTTGTCTTTACTTTTGTTGTTGAGTTCTACTTTTACTGCATTGTGTCAGATAGTATGCATGGTATAATTTCTTTTTCTTATATTTGCTGACTTGCTTTGTGCCCTAGGATATGATCTATTTTGGAGAAGGTTCCATGGGCTGCTGAGAAGAATGTATATTGTGTAGAAGGTTGGATGAAATGTTCTGTAGACATCAACTAGGTCCATTTGATCTATTGCATATTTTAGATCTTGGATTTCTTTATTGATTTTTGTTTGGATGACCTATCTATTGATGATAATGGGTGTTAAAGTCTCCCACAACCACTGTGTTGGCATTATATATGCTTTTAGGTCTTTCAGGGTATGTTTGATGAAATTGGGTGCGTTGACATTGGGTGCATACAGGTTGAATTATTATTTCCTTTTGGTCTATTTCCCCTTTTATTAGTATGGAATGTCCTTCTTTATCTCGTTTGATCAATGTAGGTTTGAAGTCTACTTTGTCAGAGATAAGTATTGCTACTCCTGCTGTTTTCGGGGCCATTGGCTTGGTAAATCTTCTTCCAGCCTTTCATCCTAAGCTATGCTTATTTCTGTCGGTGAGATGGGTCTCCTGTAAGCAACAAATTGTTGGATCTTCCTTTTTAATCCATTTGTCAAGCGGTGCCTTTTGATGGGTGAATTAAGTCCATTAACATTAAGCGTTAGTACTGATAGGTATGTGGTGATTCCTGTCATTTAGTTGTCTTAGTTGTTTGAAGGTTTGATTGTGTGTACCTAAGTTGAGGTTACTCTCTACTGTCTTGCTTTTTCTTTTCCTGTGGTTTGGTGCTGCCTGTCTTTTCATGGTTAAGTTGGGTTTCACTTTCTGTGTGCAATCCCTTGCAGAATCTTTTGTATGGTGGCTTTGTGGTCACATATTGTTTTAGTTTCTGCTTATCATGGAAGACTTTTATTGCTCCATCTATTTTGAATGATAGTTTTGCTGGGTAGAGTATCCTGGGGTTGAAGTTATTTTCATTCAGTGCCCGGAAGATCTCACCCACGCTCTTCTTGCTTTTAATGTTTCTGTTGAGAAGTCTGCTGTGATTTTGATGGATTTACCTTTGTATGTTACTTGTTTTTTCTCTCTTACAGCCTTCAATATTCTTTCCTAGTTTCTGAACTTGTTGTTTTAATGATGATATGTCGTGGGGTAGTTCTATTTTGATCTGGTCTGTTTGGTGTCCTGGAGGCCTCTTGCATCTGTATGGGAATATCTTTCTCTAGATTTGGGAAATTTTCCGTTATTATTTTATTGAATATATTACGCATTTTCGCTTGCACCTCTTCTCCTTCTTCGATGCCCATGATTCTCAAGTTTGGTCTTTTGATGGAGTCGGTGAGTTCTTGCATTTTCTTTTCACAGGTCTTGAGTTTTTTAATTAATAGTTCTTCGGTTTTTCCTTTAATTACCATTTCATCTTCAAGTTCTGAGATTCTGTCTTCTGTTTTTCTTTCTGCTGGATTGGCCTTCCGTTTTGTTTTGCAGTTCTGTTTCGTTCTTTTTTCTGAGGTTTTCCATGTCCTGGGTCGTTTCCTCTTTAATGTTGTCTATTTTTGTCCTGAGTTCAATTATGTTTATTCATCGTGTCCTCTGTTTCACTTTGGTGTTTATACAGTGCTTCTATGGTTTCCTTTATTTCTTCTTTTGCTTTTTCAAATTCTCTATTTTTGTTGTCTTGGAATTTCTTGAGTGTCTCCTGTACATTTTGGTTGACCCTATCCAGTATCATCTCTATAAAATTCTCATTGAGTACCTGTAGTATGTCTTCTTTTAAATTATTCTTGTGGGCTTCATTGGGTCCTTTGGCATAGTTTATCTTCATTTTGTTCGAGTCTGGATCTGAGTATCTGTTTTCATCATTCCCCTCTGGTGCCTGTACTAATTTTTTACTGAGGGGAAACTGGTTTCCCTTTTTTTTCTGTCTTCCCATCATTGTCTTTGGTGTTGTTACTGTCCCTGTACTGTGTGCAATTAAGTATTTTCTAGCTTGTAATAATAACAATGGTAATATTTAGAATGGAAGGGTGAGCTGAGATGGAAAGCAAGAAGTTAAAGAAAAGGGAAAACAAATACAGACAGAGGAGAAAACAGAACAAGGTATCAGACAAGAAAGTTTCAAAGGTATAAACAGGGAGCGTTAGTGTACTAATGACAGTAAGCTGAACAGACATTAGAGAGACAGAGAGAGATTGAAAAAAAAAAAAAAAGAAAGAATAAAAATAAAAAATAAGTAAATGAAAGAAATATCTATATATAAATGAATTAAAATAAATGAAAATAGAAAATTAAAAAAAAAAAACCAAAAAACTCCAAGTTCAAATACAATGAAGTTTCAGTCTTAATAATTTGGGTGTCCGTCTCAGTCTCCAATCCTGGAGATGGTGCCTCAGATGTTGTTCTGTAGTTGTCTCATCAAAGGGGACGCATAAAGTAGAACAAAACTACACACACACACACACACACACACACACACCCACCAAGTGTCCCAAGTTCAAATGCAATACAGTTTCAGTAAGTTTTTCAGCATGCAGGTGTAATTCGGTTGTTCTCTCATCAAAGGTAGGGAGAAAAAAAAAAAGAGTCTGGAGACAGTTCTGAGAATGGTATCTGCAGCTGTGGCTTGCCTGCCCACTGCTGTCAGCCTGCTGTTGCTGGGCGTTATTTATGCAGATCTCTGGGGTGAGCTTAGCACTCACCTGGCCCCAGGCTTTGTTTGCTCAGAGTTCTCCTGTGGAGCCTCTGCTACAAGCTTTCCCCTTTCCAAGCACTGGGAAAGGTGACACTGCCCGTTGTCAGGCCTGCGTGTTTATTTACAGTTCATGTGGGAGGTGGGTCTTCCCCCTCTCCTGTGAGTTTTCCTCCCACGCCACTTTACAAGCTTTCCTGCTCCTGATTACTGGGCGGTGCTGCTGCTCCTGCCAGCCGCCATGTTTGTTTACAGTTCACGTGGGAAGTGGGTCTTCCCTCCTCTCCTGTGGAGTTTTCCTCCCTCGCCACTCTCAAGCTTTCCCCTCCTGGTTGCTGGGCGCCGCCCCCCTCCCACCAGAGCCTCTCCCGCCGGCTTGTTTATTTACAGTCCGGGAAGGATTCCTTCCCCCAATCTTTGGCGCTCAGGTGCCCCACCCTCTTTCCCCGTGTCTTTATTGTTCTTATTGCTTATTAGTCAGTTTCTCTTTTTTCCCGGGTGGAGGTCAGTCTGTCCAGGGGGCTATGCTGCTCTGGCCCAGGCTTGTCTGTGGGAGTACCGCGGTACCACGAAGCTCACCTGGTCTGCGTCTTCCCAAGCTGTCTGGGCGCGGGTGACTGGCGGCCTGGGGGCCCTCCTGGTTTCTCCGTTTAACGTGAAGTGGAGATTTCTGCGCGCTGGAGGTGTGGAGGGGTCAAAGTTATGCCTCTTCTCAGTGATTATGCCTGCAAAGTGTGTCTCCAGCATCTCTCCAAGATTTCACTATAGGAGGCTCGCTTTCTGCTTCCTCCCTCTAGCCACCATCTTGGAATCTCCCCTATTTCTGGATTCTTCATATTGGATTAATTCTTCCCAATAAAAAATAAGTGTAAATGATGAAGAAAAATATTACTTAAAAAACTGAAATCATCACGAGGAGCCAATTGACTTGAAGCAGGGTTTCGTGGGCTACAATCCTTGGAAAGAAGTCAAATATGTAAAATTGAGGTCCACCTCTCCCAGCCTCTCATTTTTCCTCTTTCTTTTAGTTTTTTTATCTTATGGGGACTGCAGATTGACGTGCAGGGCTTCACATGTTTTAACAGCACTTGTATGACTAAGTTTCACCCCCAAATTTTTAAATTTTTATTTTGAAAGAGGTCTCATTATGTTTGCTAGCAAGTTTGAATTCGCATGTATAGCTTCAGGACTGTCTCAAACTCACACTCACCTGCCTCAGCATCCCAAAGTACCTGGGATTAAATGGAATGCACCACCCACACCCCAACCTCTTCTTCTGTTTAGTTTTTAATTATGTAACTTTTTTTTTCAATATACTTACCGCCCCCCCCCCCCCTTTTTAACCTTTTTTTGTGGTAGGGGTTTGGAACTCAGCCTCATGCTTGCTTAGGCAGGCCACTTAATCACTTTAGTCTTTTTCAAGCAGTTTATCCCTTTTTCTTGGTCCTAAGGATTCAGTTTGCATTCCTTTGGCTTAATTTTAACCTTGGTGATTACATAAATCTACTCTAATTAGGATTTTTTCCTTCTTCACACCTTTAAAGTTACCTTTTTATGAAAATACTCTAAAGAAAGTTCTTTCAAAATTAAAAGGGCAAAGATACCAAAATAAAAAGTATGTTACTGGGCTGACAGATTAGCTCATGTGGTAGCACCCTGCCTAGCAAAGCATGAACCCTGAGTTCAAACCCAGTGCCACCAAAAAAAAAAAAAAAAAAGTCTGTTCTTAAGGTTGGTAAATATAATGAATATTGTTCATTTTGCCACCAAAAAACAATACTTCCCATCCTTCTTGAAAGCTCGACATTAGGAGGATTTCCAAGGTCAAGGCCAGCCTGGTCACCCTTCAATGACTTCCTATTCAAGCTTCACCTTCTTTTAAAGGTCTCACTAACTCCTACATTGTTGACACTCAAATCAAGTTTTACCACATGATCCTTTGGGGAAGCACACTCAATCATTTTCCAAACTCTTAATAAATAATGAATTGAAATTGACATCAGTAAGCAAGATTTGTGTTTCTCTCCAGCCATGTCAAGCCAGACTGTAGATGCCTGAATTGGTTTTCCTGCAGGCTGAGGTTTTGCCACATTGAGGTTCAGTTGAGAGTGCGGTGCAATTGAGTTGGAAGAATATGCAGAGCGAGAATGGTGATTAATGGACCAACTGGTTAATGTATTTTAATGGGAATATGGAGAAAGAAAAGATGGAAAAGATCAGTATATTCTAGGGTACTTTTGTTAGGGTCACATTTTTTTAAGTGGAGTCGTAGAGGGAAATAAGTGAGAAAATAGGACTTTAGAGAGCAAATACTTAAAATTGGAAATTATGATTAGAGTGACTGAGCTACATGGAGATGAGGTAGGGTGAAGTTCAACAAAATGTAGAAATCACTTAATTAGTGACAATTTTAGTTTGGAGATGATTTTTAACAAATCTAAGATAAAATGTTGAACAAACAAACAGGAGTGACCTCTGAGGGGTAAAAAACTATAACAAGTGGGTTCTTGTAATAAATCATTCTTTTCCTGCTACAGTTCAGAGTCAGAAAAGTTTCAGAGCAACTAGAAGTACTATCGGTTACTACAAATAAACAAAAACAACTAGTTGATAATTTAAAAAATGGTATGCTGATACATATGTATTAACTTTATCCAAAGGAGAAAAGAATGTAACCATATTGACCACCCCAGAAGTCAATATATATATGTTAAAATGAAATTTGATTATACCATAATCATTTGTTAATTTCTAGTATGTAACAGAAATGAAATTTTTAAAATTTGCTCTCAAATTCATTAAGTCATTTCAAAACTTAGCATGATTTTTCTTTTTTGTTGTTTTTTACAGAGATTTCTCCTGAAGGGGAAAAGTATAAACCCTTAATCATTGGAGAAGAAAAAATACAATGTATTTCACATGAAATAAGCCCATCAGCTACCATTGGTTCTTCTGTTGAGACAAAAATTCCAAAGGTTAGTGAGGCATCTCCACAGACACCAGTAAGACCGGAAGGAAATATGGAAGGTATGTTTAAATGGGTCAAAATAAGCTAAATTTGATTTAATAATAAATTTCTTCTTTATAAACAGGCCTTAAAGAAGTCTTCAAAATTTGTGTATACATTTCAATAATTCATCTTGAGGTTAGGTTCACAATTTTTGTACTTTTAGTAACTGGCCTTTTGTTTTTGTTTTGGTGTTTGTGACAGCATCTGGCCATGTAGCTCAGACTGACCTGAAATTCACAATCCTCCTGTCTCACCATCCCAATTGATGGTATTACAGGCATTCATTACCATGCCGAACTAGTAACTGGTCATTATATTTCTTTTCTTTCCTTTTATTTTATCATTTTTACATTTACTTACATGTCTATGCATTGTTTGGGCCACCACCCCGCTCCTTCAACCCCTCCTTTTCCCCGCTTCTTGTCCCCTCCACTGCTTCTGGGAAGAACCTGTTCCACCCTCTTCTCTGATTTTGTTGAAGAGAAAACATAGGAGATAATAAGAAAAACATAGAGGTTTTGATAATTTGAGATAAAGATAGCTATACAGAGAGGTTCTTTACCACTTGAGCCATTCCACGAGCTCAAGTTATACAGAGAGATTCCTGGCATTGCTCCATACACAATGTGGGTTGTGTATTGCAACACACATTGGTTCATCTCTGACAGACCTCTTCACTACTTCCTGGTCCCCTTCACAGAGTGGCCTCTGCCAGTTTAAGATTACTATATTAGTTCCTCTACAAGTGAGCACATCATTTAGGTTCCTTCCCTTTCCCTATTCCTCCTGTTCATGTTCTCCCCATACTGTGTGACCCATGTCCAATAGTATTACTGCATTTGTTTCAGGTCTATAATCTGCATAGGAGGGAGGACATGCAATTTTTGGCCTTCTGTGCCTGGCTAACTTTGCTTAAGATGATCCAGTTCCATCCATTTACTTGCGAATGACAATATTTCATTCTTCTTCATGGCTGAGTAAAATTCCATTGTGTATAAATACCACAGTTTCTTAATCCATTTGTCGGTAGTGAAGCATCTTAGCTGTTTCAATAGCTTGGCTATTGTGAATAGTGCTGCAATAAACATGGTTGTGCAGGTGCTTTTGTAATAACCTGAGTCGCATTCCTTCGAATACATCCCTAGGAGTGGTATTGTTGAATCGTATGGCAGATCTATGTTTAGTTTTTTAAGAAGTCTCCATATTGTTTTCCAAAGTGGCTATACTAGCTTACATTCCCACTAGGAGCGTATGAGGGTTCATTTTCCCCCACATCCTCACCAACATTTGTTGTGGTGGTGTTCTTGATGCTAGCTATTCTAATAGGAGTGAGGTGGCATCTTAGTGTGGTTTTAGTTGCATTTCCTTTATGGGCAGAGATGGGGATCATTTTTTCATGTGTTTTTTGGCCATTTGAATTTCTTCTTTTGAAAAAATTCTGTTTAGTTCAATTACCCACTTTCTTTGTTCATTAATTTTGGGGGAGTTTAGTTTTTTGAGCTCCCTGTATATTCTGGTTATCAGTCCTTTGATGTGTAGCTGGCAAACATTTTCTCCCAGTCTGTGGGTGGTCTCTTCAGTTTAGAGACCATTTATTTTGTTGTGCATAAGCTTTTTAATATCATGTAGTCCCATTTGTCCATCCTTTCTCTTAGTTGTTGGGCTGCTGAAGTTCTACTGAGGAAGTCCTTGCCTATACCTATTGTTTCCAGGGTATTCCCTGCTCTTTCCTGTACTAACTGCAAGGTTTCAAGTCTGATATTAAGGTTGTTAATCCACTTTGAGTTGATATTAGTACAGGGTGACAGGCATGGATCTAGTTTCAGTTTTTTGCAGGCAGATAACCACTTTTCCCAGCAACATTTGTTGAAGAGGCTGTCTTTTTTCCATCATATGTTTTTGGTACCTTTGTCAAAAATAAGGTGGGCATAGCTGTGTGGATTCATATCTGGGTCCTCTATTCTGTTCTACTGGTCTTCATGTCTGTTTTTGTGCCAGTACCTTGCTGTTTTTATTGCTATGGCTCTGTAGTATAGTTTGAAATTGGTTATTTTGATACCTCCAGCATTGCTCTTTTTGCTCAGTATTTCCTTGGCTATTTGCAGTTTTTTATGTTTCCAAATGAACTTAAGGGTAGATTTTTCAATCTCTGTGATTAAACATCTCTGCGATTTCAATCTCTGTGATTGTGATGGGAATTATGTTGAACATGTAGATTGCTTTTGGTAGTATAGCCATTTTTACTATGTTGATTCTGCCAATCCATGAGCATGGGAGATCTTTCCATCTTCTGTAGTCTTTCCTCAGTCTCTTTCTTTAGTGGTTTGTAGTTCTCCTTGTAGAGGTCATTTTCATCCTTTGTTAAGTTTATTTGTAGGTTTTTTTTTTTTGAGGCTACTGTAAATAGAATTGTTTTCCTATATTCATTCTCAATTTGTTCATTGTTGGTGTTTATAGAAAGGCAACTGATTTTTATAAATTCATTTTGTATCCTGCTACATTGCTGAAGCTGTTTATGGTGTCTAGGAGTTTTGGGGTGGAATTTTTTGGGTCTTTGAGGTATAAGATCATGTCATCTTCAAATAGAGATATGTTGACTATTTCTTTACTTACTTGTATTCCTTTTATTTTTTCTTCTGGCTAGGAATTCTAGGACTATAGAAGTGGGGAGAGTGGGCATCCTTGTCTCGTTCATGGCTTTAGGGGAAATGGTTTCAGTTTTTCTCCTTTAAGTATGATGTTGGCTATAGGTTTGTCATATATTGCCTTTACAATGTTGACGTACATTCCTTCTATTACTAGTTTTCTTAGAGCTTTTATCACGAAGTGATGTTGAGTCTTATCAAAGACTTTTTCTTCATCTATTGAGATAATCAAGTGGTGTTTGTCTTTGCTTCTATTAATGTGCTGTATTGCATTCATTGATTTGCATATGTTGAACCATCCCTGCATTCCTGGAATGAGGCCGAGTTGGTTACAGTGAATGACATTTCTGATATGTTGTTGGATTCAGTTTGCCATTATTTTATTGAGGATTTTTGCATCAGGGTTCACTAAGGAGATTGGCCTATAGTTCTTCTTTTGGGATGTGTCCTTGTCCAGTTTTGGGATGAGCATAATGTTGGCTTCATAGAATGAACCCAGGCTTCATGCATGCCAGGCAAGTATTCTACCCCTTGAGCCACACTCCCACACTTTTTTGTTTTGTAAATTTGTTTTTGTATGTAGAGTCTCACTAACTTTCCCCAGGCTACCTCAAACGCATGATCCTTTTGCCTCTGTCTCCCAAGTACCTCGAATTACAGGCCTATACTAACACACCCAGGTATGTTTCATTATTTTAATGTATCAGGTCACATTAGCCAAGTCAAGGCTTGGCTAATGTGATTTTCCTAATTCATGTGCCTTTGTCTCAAAGATCACACTATAAGGAGGTGGAGATCACATGCTTGGGGCTGTGCCTCAAGTGATGGAATGCCTGCCTAGCAAGTGCAAGGTTATGATTTCAAACCTCTGTACCACAAAAAAAGAAAGAAAATTAAGATGGGCCTCTCTCACTCTTCATAGACTCTCAATGCTATTCTGTACTCTCCTCCTAGCAGAGTAATCTGACTTTTTTTTTTTTTGTCAGTATTAGGGACTGAACTCATGGCCTTGCACTTTTTAGGCAGATCTCTTCCACCAGAGCTACTCTACCCACCCCCTTTTTGTTGCATTGGTTATTTCTAAGACAGGTTCTCGCTTTATGCCCAGGATGGCCAGGACTGCAATCCTTCCATTTGTGCTTCCCCATGTAGCTGGGATAACAAGTATGTACCACCTCCCCCAACCATGGTAAGATGGGGTCTTGCTAACATTTTGCCTGGCTAGTCTTCAGTTATGATCCTCTCAATCTCTGTCTCCCAAGAAGCTGGGATCAGAGGCTTGAGCCCTTGTGCCTGACCCTAACTTCTTATATAATGGCTCAGGACAGGACCTCAAGGAAGGGAAACAGAACCCACCTGTCAAAGGGGGGAGTTTAAAGAATTTGTAACCAACTTTAATCTGCCATAGTCTGCCCACTGACCAAAAATTATTTATATTCCTCACACATGCAAAATACATTCACCCTTTCTCAATACCTCATTGCATTAGGACATTAACTCACAATCTAAGATGATGTTATCATCTTAGTGCTGAGTTTCCTTTGATAGAGTGCTTTGAGAACTCTCAATCTGAAGAGCTAGGCCAGGCATAACTGTTGCATACTTATAACCCCAACTACTCAGAAGGTGAAAATAGGAAGACCACAGTCTGAGGCTGGTCCAGGTAAAAAACAGGAGACTTTATTGGAAAAACACTAAAAGCAAAAAGAACTTGGGGTATGACTCAAGTGATAGAGTCCTTGAGGCTCTGAGTTTAAACCCCAGTACCATACGCAGAAAAATCTGAGACCTCTGAGTAAAAAAAAATGTTATTTGCCTTCCACATATCTAGCATATAATGGTGAGACAGGTTAGAGATCCTTCTCAAAAACAGGGAAGCTAGAAACACATAATTGTCATTGGTCCATAGAAATTCTGACACTGCCAGCCTGTTTCATTTGCATTAGATATTGATGCCCTCAAGGGCTCCTCTTTTCTGAACCATGTATGTCCCTATTAGTCTGAGCTGGTGGTGCTTCCACAAGTAGAATTACTAAATTTTGTGAGTTTTGTATGAACATTATTGACATTCATTACATTTGATAAAAGGCGCTCTTTTTTTCTTTGAGGTAAGCCGTCTGCCTTGAGCATTTGCCCTGCTGTAAGACATTGTGCTTAACTTTCAGAAATCCTTTTGTCGGGCAAAGAGGGTCTATAACAGGCATGCCTTTAGATCTTGCTGTGGTATAACTGATTTTATCCACATCTTTGATTTTATCTTTTCCCTGAAGTCACATTTTACTGCCCTGAATTTAGTTTTTGTCTTGAGGGCATGGCCATGTCTTCCTTTGTGAATCTTTTGCTGCCTAGAAGGAATTATCTTGGGTCCTCAGTATCTTCTAACTTCTCATAATCTAAGGAATCATTTCTTCAATCAGTCTGTCTCATGTACTTTATCACAGGCTGCTGAGGAACCTGGCTGGCACTTTCAACATTCTACTTTGGTGACTCTATAACTAGGTCATTGAATCCATAAAGTACACTCTCTTATCTTCCTTATTAATACAGTTACCAAAATTTTTGCTTCTATATAACAAGAGATCCCCTTTCTCCTGCCTCCAATAACTTTTTTCTCCTGGCCAGACTCCTTTCCACCTTATGTCTGCTGCCGAACCCCAAAGGTGGTACACACGTTTTAGGCTTTTCACTTTCATAGATGATACTCTGTTTCTATTATCTATTGCTATCTGTTTATTTCTATGAAAAATTAACCCTAAAACTAAGTAGCTTAAAGCACCCATTTTATTTTATCTGACACTTATGAGTTACAAATTGCGAAGGTTCTGCTACTCCATGTGCATCAACTGGTATTGATCAATGGTATTCAGCTGGGCTTATCTGGTGGGTGTAAGATGACACCACTCTCTTGCCTGGCATCTTTGTAGGGCTTATCTAGGTCCTTTATTTTAGTCTGAGAATGTTGCTATGCATTTTTTCCAGAATAATTGGACTTCTTTCATGATGGCTTGTGCTTCCAGCCAGATACTAAACAGAAGCTATCAGTTCTCTTAAAGGTTCAGCCTGAAATTGCCAAAACATTACTTCCACTATACTCTATTAGTTAAGTCAATCATAGTGCCAGCCGAAATTAAGGGAAGGAAAAGCAGCTCCTGTTACTGGAGTTAGGAAAAAATCCCCAACTCCTGGGAGTCCTAACAGACCAGACTCCGCCACCCATCCCTGAAAGCCAATCAAACAGATGAGTGATAGTGAGATGAGGAAAGGATCTTTATTAACAATTTGACCACAGCAGGAAGAGCAGAAGTCTGATGACCTAACATCTGCCAATGTGATTTAACAGTCTGAGCATTACACAGGAAAGAGAAGCAATGGAAAGGATTGGGGGGTCTGCAAAGTAGTAGTCCAGGTCATTTGGTCCATTTGATCATTACCTCAGACCATTATTTCAGAACTGGCCATACAGAGCTTTACTGGTGCCAAAAGAAAACATAAAGTCTCTGATGCGTCTTGCGACCTGTTCAAGCTCGTCCTAGAAACCTAACTGGGAGTGACATGAGATTAAGAAAGGACAAAAGACAGAAGACAAACATGCAGAAACCTGGGGTCGGGTGGACTGGGTGCTCTGATGGAGACACACAATAGCCTCATCCAGTTCCAGCAAGTTTATTACGTACACTGGCAAACAATGAAGTAGAGCAACAGTTGGGGAAGGAGGGTGGCATGACATTGTAGTTACTGGAGCAGGAGGAAGCTGCAATCACTACTCTCTGGGCATAAACATCTTAGGAAAAGCAGCTGTGCCCTCACCTCCTTCTGCAACTGGGGGCTGTGCCATCCCAGCCTGCAGATTATTGGTCATAGCTGTGCTTATGTCAAGTTCTTGAAGACTTCTCATACTCTGCTCTCTACAGTTGCTCAGTGGGTAATCTCAGTCCTTTGTCATAGGTGTTCATTTATTAGGCCTCTTGTTCTTGGGATGCAGTATAACTGTTGGGGAGAAAGACTTAGGAGAGGTCAGAAAGAAGGAAAGAAAACAAGATGAAGTCAGTAACAAAATGGAGTTAGCTAAGTCAGTGACAGCCCTCCTTCAAATCTCCACTGTCAATCTATCATTCCATTTCTGTGGGAGTGGGGCCAAATGTAAGGGCCCTGATACTCCCTCTAGATAAGAATGTCAGAGACCTTGCTTACGTGTGTGCCCATCTTTAATTTACCACAGTAACAAATAATATATGACAGGTGTTGGGGCACACCTATCATCCTAACCCTGTGGAATGCATAAAGAAAAGGATCAAAATCTAGGCCAGCCCAGGTATGAAGTGAGACCCTATTTCAAAAATAAGCAAAAAAGAGCTAGGCATGGCTCAAGTAGTAGAATGTCTAGCAAGCACTGATGCCCTGAGTTCAAACTCCAGTATAGCAAAAAAAAAAAAAAAAGCCAGAGGTTTAGCTCTTTGCTGTCTGTCATGTAAGCATACAAGTAGGAAAAGTCTATCTGAACACCAGGAAAAAGAGTTTCTCCAGAACTTGTCTTGCTGACTTCATAATAATACATTCTCTAGTCCCTAGTACTATGAGAAGTAAATTTCTTTGCTTAAGCCACTCAGGGTAAAATATTTTGTTACAGCAGACTGAACTAAAAGAGTATCTTTTGACTTTTTTTTTCAAAAGAAGAAAGGAAGGTAGAAAGAGAAAAGAAGGTAAAGAAAGGAAAAAACAACTGGTAGGCATACAATGGAGGCTGTATAAACTAATGCAGGGGTTAGCAGTTGTTTTCTCTAAAAAGCCAGATAGTAAATATTTTAGGCTTTGTGGGCACAAATCAAATTTATAGATAAGAATAAGTTGATACTGACATGGCTTTAGGTACCTAGAAAATTGTTATCCATTAAAAAATAAAATAAAAAAGGGTTTTACTCCCAAGTGCTTACCATGTAGTGAATGACCAAAAAGTTTGTTTGAGTAAAGGATAAAAACTGTAAGGACTGGTACAATATCAACTGTCTTTCAAAATAAGACAGATAACTGGGTATTTTAAAAATAGAGAAGGAAGAGTAGCTCAAGTGGTAGAGCACCTGCTTGGCAAGCATGAGGCCTTGAGTTCAATCCCTAGTACCAAAAAAAAAAAAAAAAAAAAACCCAAAAAATAGAGAAGGAAAATGCATCTGGATTTCAGGGGGAAGAAAAGGGGGATGTTGTTAACATAAATAAGATAATAAGTAATCTTAATTAGAAAAGAAAAAGAGTTAACAAATGAAGAAACTCTTCTTGTCACTATTTACTTGCAGAAAGTATCAGTAGATAAAAAATGAGACACTGCCAGAAAAACAGAGGTAGTACTCTATCTAGTATTATTTGATGGCATAAGAAAGTAGATTTAGTGTATTTCAACTGTGTTCTCAATATGGTTGTAAATTCCAGGTAATCATTCAATTTTTTTTTCTTTTTTGGTTGTTGAAAGATTTTAAAGATTAAAATTTCCTCTACTTACTAGTCAATAAAATCACATATTCTTCCATATGTGTAACCATAGACATCTTTCTTCTTTTTTTTGTCTTTTCTTTTTTTTTGTGCTGGGATCAAACCCAGGGCTTCACGCATGCTAGGCGAGCACTGTACCACCGAGCTACATCCCAGCCCAACATCTTTATTCTTTAAATCAGTTTTATACTTTCTTTGAACCAATTAATATATTGACAAAATTTTATATAATAAAATACAGTGCAGAGTATTTCTTTTTAGTATTTTTATTAAAGTGAAAATACAAAAGGATTAATCTATCATTTGAGAACGTTAACACAATATAAGACTAAAAAATAGATAAAACGTTAGCTTTTTCTATATTATTAGTATATTTGCTAAAATGAAGTAATGATAATTAATAGAAAGGTTATTTAATTTCTTTCAACACATTTTGCTTTAACACATTTTTTGTTCTCTGTTTGCTTTGCAGAACCTGATGGCTTGGAAACAGAAGTTCTGCAAGAACCAAGTAAGAAAACCAAAGATGAAAGCTTGCCATGTACTGTTACTGATGTGTGGATTAGCGAGGAAAAAGAAACAAAGGAAACTGAGTATGTCGAGTCTTTTTCCTTTCATTTCAAAACCTAGGTCCCTTTGGTAATACCTTTTTTAAAAATAATACTGTGATAATTTCATGTCCTAATACTGCCCCTGGAATATAATTGTCTTTATAGACACGTGCTTCAGAAGTCAGTAAGTATATAATGAATACGAAAATATAGAGTAAAATATCTTGCCTGCTTCTTTCTCTATCCAACCAATTTCTATTCTTTCCTCCTTTCAGGTAATTTTTAGTATTATAACGAAAAACATGATACTCTTCTTTGCTTTATAAATATAGTCATTAGTATAATAGGCACAGTATTTTCCACCTTGCTTATTTTTAATCAATAATCTGGGACATTTTTTCATATTAATACATAAAGGCCTTCCTCTTTTTGTATTGCATTCTATGGATTTACCACAACTCAGTAAGTGTCCTACTTGATGGATAGTTATTGATATTACAAATGATGCTGCAGTGAGTAACATTTTGCATAAGGCGATTTTTACTTATATATTTATCTGTAATATAGAAACATAGAAGTATAATTGCTGAGTCAGTTGCATTTTTATAAATTAATATTAGTAATTCCATTATTTTTCCCAGGGGTTGTGCCAATTTAAGCTGTCAAAAAGAATTAATGATTAGTGAGAGTTTTGCTTGGCTCAAGTGGAAAACACAGTGTGTTTATAAGAGAAAGAGTATATAAAAGTGAGAAAAACCCTTGGAAGAGAGACCACAGTATACTAATGAACTTGTGTTTAATTTTCTTTATATTTGTGGCAAGCTATGTTATTTATTTATTTTGTTTCTTTTTGTACCTATCTGTGGCAGGTTGGAAGATAAGGTTACCATTCAGCAAAGTGAAGTTTCTGAAGATGGAATCCCAGGGAATGTGGACCAGTTTAGTGAAGTTCATAAAGGTAAGCATCAGTGCAGTGGTATAATTTCTTTTGGGAAGATTAGTTAGCAACAACCTATTTTATTTAGGCTGCATATAAATATCAGTCATCATAATCTTTTTTTTAAATATAATAGGTATAGAGTATAGGAATACACACTAATAAGCCTGGATTTTTTGATAAGATAGACTGTAAAATTTTTGTTCAGTCATTTTATTCAGTGTCCAAAATTGGCTTCGTTTTCTAAACTAATGTACTAAGGACATTAAATAAATGGTCCTCTTTTTAAATAGTATTAATTGAAATATAACAAATGTAATTTTTTTCTACTATATTGGACAAATACAAACTGGAAAAGTACGAATGTCTAAACAGTATATTTTTTACATTCCCTTAGATTTGTGTCCATATTTTAGAATTTTCAATATAATGAAGTACATATCAAATTAAGTCTTACTGCAAATAAAGCATTATAACCTCTTAAAGATTACTAGTACACTCATCCATACATTTTTTTTTCATTTTTCTTTTATTATTCATATGTGCATACAAGGCTTGGTTCATTTCTCCCCCTGCCCCCACCCCCTCCCTTACCACCCACTCCGCCCCCTCCCTCTCCCCCCACCTCAATACCCAGCAGAAACTATTTTGCCCTTATTTCTAATTTTGTTGTAGAGAGAGTATAAGCAATAATAGGAAGGAACAAGGGTTTTTGCTGGTTGAGATAAGGATAGCTATACAGGGCATTGACTCATCATACATACATTTTTATTTTGTTTTCCTGGTAGATGTGAAGTTTTTAATAGAAATCATGTTAAATACTATGGCTCGTAAATATCATTTAGGACTTTTAATTACTATATGAACTTATATAATCTCTCCTTTATGCCACAGAACCTGAAATAGACAATTCTCAGCACTTTAAACATGATGTAGACAAATCTATACAACCAGAACGATTCTTCCATAAAGTGGTTCTTTCCGAGCACTTAAACTCAGTCTTTCAAGTCCAGTCAATTCAGTGTTTACCAGAAGAATCCATTCCACTTCGATCTCGCTCTGATTCACCACCAAAAAGTAAAAATAAGAATTCCTTGCTGATTGGACTTTCAACAGGTCTGTTTGATGCAAACAATCCAAAGGCAAGTATAGTTTTCAAGTGGAAAAGTTATCCATTTGATAAAATTTTTTATTGATTGCTTTTCTTTGATAAACCATAATGTTGAGTTTTAATCTCTTAAAAATACAAACATGTACAAACACACAAAGTGAATACATCAAAACAAAGATAACAAAAAGTTCCCTTCTTCTGAGATGCTGATCAGAAATTGCTATTGAAACTGAGTTTAAGCAATGTTTCTTAAATGGATAAAAGTGCCATCTTACCTAATTTGTATGCAGAAAGATCAATGGATGTTCATACAGACTTTCTGGTAAGAGTTTTTCAGACCTCTTATCTTTCCTCATTGCTGTTTTTAAATATATGTAAGCAACTTTTTCTTAGGAAATTAGAACATTATAAAAAAACCTTAAAATACAAATAAAAATAAGAAATCTCATCATTTTTTATATGACTTTAAATATATGTAATTTTTACATACATATAAATTTTTACTAAAATAGGATAGAATATGTATTCTTTTTGTAACCTTTCTATTTTATATATTGCAATATTACAAATACATTACAATATTATTAGAATAATAGCACTTTGTCATATTACTAAATATTCTGTCATAGCATCTTTAATGATCACATATTCCATTGATTTGCTATATCATACTTTTTTAACAAATCTATTTGAATTGTTGGGCCTTTAGGTTTCAATATGGGGTTGGGGGACTGAGACAGTCTCTCTCTATGTAGCCCAGATTGATCTGTAAACTCACATTGCAGCCCAGGCTAACCTGAAAGTTGTGATTCTCCTATCTCTTTCTTCAGAGTGCTGTGATTATAGGTGTGCACCATCACACCTGGCTTTAGTTTTTGTTGTAGCCACCTACTCCTTTATTTTCATTCATATCCACAATTTATTTTTATAACATAAATTTCTATAAGTGGAATTTTTAGTGTTCTTTAGTAGCATGTGAGAGAACATCCATTTCTCCATATTCTAAATAGGACTCACTGTTATCATTCACTTTAAAATCATCTATTTAATGAATGGTTAATGGTATTAATTTGTTTAAATTTGCATTTACTTATTTATCTGTGGTAACTGAATTTCCACAATTCTTTGGTCTTTAACTGCTATTCAGATATGTCATTTTTATTTTTCATTTTTACTTTTTTATTATTATAAATTTTTATTAGGATATATTCATTATATGGGGGGATTCAAAGTGACAATTCCAATCAGACTTATATTGTATATTATTTACATTTCCTCCATCATCATTATTTTTTAAAGTTTAACTCTCCAATTAAATATGCTTTGGTTTTTGGCAATACTGGTGTTTTAACTCAGGGCCTTGTACTTGCTAGGCAAAACAAATTTATGATCTTCAGAGTTAGAGACAAAAGCCTATTATGGTACAGATAAGGACTATCATAATTCCTGTATTTTCTTTTAAAAAGAAGAAAGAAAGTAAAAGTGTATAGCTATCATTAGCCCATTAACCCTTTATAATATCTAATTGCTCTCTGTAAAGTTAAAACTCATTGTGAAAAGTATAGCAAATTGTAAGCAGTAATACAGATTTCATGCAATATTACCATGAGGGAAGAGGCAAGAAAAAATACTAGAAAAGCAGAGAAATCTGTCCTTTTAAGACAAAGACAAAAAGCCATCCCTATCTTACAAATGCGTGAGATCAGACTGGGAGCCAGTGGTTTACGCCTGTAATCCTCGCTACTCAGGAGGCAGAGATCAGGAGGATCGCAGTTCGAAGTCAGCCCAAGCAAAAAGTTCTGTAAGACCCTATCTCGAAAAACCCTTAACAGAAGGGCTGGTGGAGTGGCTTAAGGTGAAGGGCCTGAACCGCAAAAGAAAAAAAAAAAAAAAAAAGCCTAAGATCAGAAGAGTTCATCACTGAGCCAAAATAGTAAATAGCCAAATTCATAATGGTGGCTTTGAATTATGAAGGTAAAAATTATGAGTGTATAATATGTTTGACCAAGATGGGATAATGTAACTAATTATTCTTCAATCTCCATTGCTCAAGCTCCTGCTACTGCAAATCTCTTAAAAAAATCTTCTCGTTCTTCTATATCTTTACCAAAAAAATGTTTTTTTTTTTTTGGTCTTCTTGAACTGTCATTTGCTAAATGAAGAAGATTGATTTTTTTTTTTTTGAGGTAGCATCTCACTAGGTAGCCCAGGGTAGCCTGAAACTCACAGTTCTATTGGCCCAGCCCCTCAGTGTTGGGATTACAGGTATGACCACGTGCCTGGTCAAAAATTTTATACTTGTATAATTTACTAGTTCTCTTTTCAGTTGTGTCAATTTTATTCCATTTATTTTGAAGTTCTGTAATTGAATAAATAAAAAATTTAGTATTGTCATATCTCCTGGATGAATTGATATGGTTATTATGTGTCCTTTGATAGTATTATTCAAATATTCTAAACTTATTTTCTTTCTACTTGTTTATTAATTATGGAGCAGAGTGTTGAAACTCCCCTCACTTGAATTTAAATTAAGAGTCATTATGTCTTCTTGATGAATTCTTTTATCCTTATAAATGAATCATTTTATTTCTGGTCATATTTCCTTATGCGAAACCTGCTCTTATTTTAATACATCCATTCCAGCTTTCTTATGCTTATTGTTTGTATGGTATATAAATTTTTTACATGCTGTTCTACTTCTGACAGCGGGGTAGAACTGGGATTTGTACTCATAGTCTTACCCTTAGCCAGAGAGGCACTTTGCCACTTAAGCCACATCCCGGCCCTTTCTACTTTATATATTTTTAGAGTCTCGCATTTATGCCCATGTCATCCTGGACTACAAACCTCTTATTTATGTTTCCCACATAGTTGGGGTGACAAGCACATGCCACAATGCCCAGCTTTTATTGTTTGAGATGGAGTCTCACAAACTACTTTGTCTGGACTGGCCTCAAACCACAACCCTCCCTATCTCCACCTGCCAAGTAGCTAGGATTACAGGAGGGAGCCACCACACCCAGCTTCATCCTTCCCTACTTTTAATCAAACATCTCATATATAAAGTAGATTTCTCGTAGTTAGTGTATAAATTGAGTCTTCTTTTTAACCAGCCTTATGATCTCTTTTAATTGAAGTGATTAGACAATTTTCATTTGATTTAATTTTCAATATTATATCATCAATGTGATTAGGTTTAAGCCTGCCACTTGAGCTATTTGGTTTTTATTTGTATGATCACCTCTGGTTCCTTCATTACTTTTATTCTCCCTTCTTTTTGATTATTTTTAGCATTCTCTTTTAACTTTATTTGCTTATAAGGTAGACTTCTTTTTTGAAAAATACTCAGTGATTATCCAGATATACCTTTAGACTATAGTCTCCCTTCAAATAATTTTATACCACTTCACGTGTAATATGATAACTTTACAATCCTATCCTTCTATTTCCATCCTCCTGCCTAGCCATTGTGGTATTATTGTCATTATTTTATTTCCACATTACAAACTCTATGGTGCATTTTTATTTTTTGCTTTAAACATTTGATTAAGTTTTATGGAAATTAAAAATTGAGAAAAATTATTTACATTTACATATTTACCATTTCTGACATTCTTTATTCCTCTGTACAGAACATAAATATCTGTGTTATTATTTTTCTTCCAAGAATTCCTAACCCAGAAGGTGGACATAGGATTGCAGTTAGAGGCCAGATCAAGCAAAGTTAGTGCAAGATCCTATCTGAAAAACAAACTAAAATCAAAAAGATTTTGTGATAGAGCACAAGTGTGAGACCCTGAGTTCAACCCCTTGTACTGTAAAAAAAAAAAAAAAATCCATTAATACTCCTTATGGAAACCTGTTGATGATAAATATATTTCTGCTTTGTTTATCTGAAAACAATTTTATTTTACCCCCATTTTGAAAGAATATTTCCACCAGCTATAGAACAGTATTATCTCCTTGGTTGTAAAATGTTTCTAACAAGAAATTTGTAATTTCTTTAGTCTTCACTTCTTTGTATATAATGCCTTTTTCTTCTCTGGCTTTTATATGTTTATATAAAACATATATTATATAAAATATACAATTTGACTATAACATGCTTTCGTAAAGGTTTTTGAGTGTGTGTTATTTGGCATGGGGGGTCCAGTGGCCTTCTTGGGCTTATGGTTCATAATTTTTATCAAGTGGAAAGGTTTTGGGTATTATTTTAGTAAGTATTTTTGTTCCTGCCCCTGTTTTTCTTTCTGGGACTGCAAGTTCAAAGATGTTAAACTGCTTAATAATACTCTACAGGTTAATGAGACTGTGCTTATCTTGCTTGTAGTCTTTCTCTGCTTCCTCATGGATAGATTCCATTAATGTGTGTTTACATTTACTCATCCTTTTCTCTGCAGTAATGTACTGTTAATCTCACTTACTAACATTTTTTTCAGTATTATGTGTTTTGTTTCTAGAAGTTTGTTGTTTTTATTTGTGATGCTGGTTGTGATGGGAATTGAACCCATGGCCTTTCACATGCTAGGTAAGCGCTCTATAATAGAAAGTTTGTGGGGGTTTTTCTGTCTTCATTTCTCTTATTATATTCATGTTTTCCCTTAAGTACTTGGTTATAATAGCTGCTTTACCATCAAATTTCTACTGACTGATTTTTTCTGTTGGTTATGGGTCATATTTTCCTGCTAATTGGCATGTTTTATAATTATTTGAAGATGGGCTTTTTGAATATTGCAGAGTATACTTTGTAAATACATTGCTGGGTATCTGGTTTTGTTGTCTTCTTTTAAACTGGGTTGGACTTAGTCAAGTTACCTCTCAACCCAATTTATTATTCCAAACTTTGTTTTTCAGCTTTGTTGAGACAAGTATAAAGTCACCTTTACTCTAGAGCTATTTTAGCTTACTACCAATGACCCTATGGAACCACTGTGTAGTCTAGATGATCTTGAGGAAACTGCACTGTCCTGGTCAAAATTCTATCATCTTCTACCTGCTTCAGCTTTAAGCCTCATTGAGTCTACAGCCCTC